TGGGGGAGGGGAGGGGTGGTGGTGAGGCTAGTCAAGCACTCCGGACAAGACATGAGTGCACAGGTGTGTACCCAGTTGTTTAAAACAAGTCCAATTGCTCACTTGTCACCAAAGTCTTCGGTTAGTTCCATTAAAGACCTAGGGTGCCAGGGTCACTTGAAGTTCACAGTGCTTCTTTATAAGCTTTAGCCCATGAGAACCAGTTGTGACAGAACATCACTGCCAGTTCTGATATGTCTAGACAACTGCAACTTTAAATAGAAAATTTTCTTTTAATATGGGATGAATTGATCATTTCCTTTCAAAAGTGGCTAAATATTCCACCAATAATGCCTGGGGGAGTAGGGTCCATGTGAGTCTTCTCTTTTCCTATACACCTGCTCCCCTGGGGAACCAGGCAGCCCAGCACCCCACCCCCTGAATGCTAACCCCAGTCCCAGGCTGTAAGCCATCACCCACCTGGAGAACACACATGCCGAAGGTATTGCCCAGGATCTTGTGGGTTTCATTGTAGTAGCAGTAGCGAATGTTTGTGGCAGCGACAAAGAGTTCAAAAGGGTCATCTTGCTTTATGTTCAGTGTTCCATTCTTTATTTTCTTCTGCAGCTGACGCATTCTTTTCTTCCGGTGACTGCAATCACACACACACCCCATCCCATGAGAGCCAGTTAACCAGAGGAGCTAAAGAACTGGGAGCAGGGGATAAGCGAAGGATCTCCCACTTAGATCCTCAAAGCTAGGAGGGAACTGGGAAATTGTAGGGCTGATCCGCTCCCTTGAAAGGTAAAGAAAACTGAGTGGCACTGGAGCAGAGTGGTTAGGAAGCCAGGCTGTGGAGGGAGACAGAGGCATGCCTGTGTGTGAACTCTGCTATTCTGCTGTCATTTCAGCAGATACTTCACGAGTACCTAAACCTCTTTTGGCCAGAGTCAGAGCTTGAAACCAACTTCGGTGACCTCATTAACTCAGCTTCAAGCCACTGCTTCAGCTACACGGTGCTGCTCCCCAGAAGACCTGGGAAAGGCATGGTGATGGCAGGTTATTGTATTCAGCTTTCCTAAACAAATTCATCCACTTCCTTCCCAGACTGTGGGATCAAGTCCACAAGGACAGCTCTAACCTCAGACAACACTGATAGAGGATATAAGGAGATAAAGTAATCAAATTTAGCCTTTGGACTGAGTAAAATTAAAATAACTTTAGAGCCTGTTAACAATACATTCAACTCAACAAATATTGCTGAGCAACTACTACAAACATGCCAGATCACATGAAAATAAAAAGATAAACTGGAGAGGCTTCCTAACCAAATGAACTTATCACCTGGAAGTAAAAAAAGACCACTGTGCAAAGGACTGTATCAAGAGAGAGGGAAAAGATAGGGTGACAGGCACCGTAAGAAGAGACTAGTGCTGAAGAGGTGTGACTGAGAGCCTGAGGAAAAGCTTCAGGAAGGAGGCAGGCGCTGAGAAGTGAGGAGCATCCGGTAGGTAATGACAGAGGTGGGAGTGGCATCCAGCGCACAAGAGGTAGCAGGTGCAAAGGCAGGAAGTTTAGCCACAGCACAGAGCAGCCAGAGCTGGAGACAGGACTTCAGAGTCAATATCAGAGACAAACACATTTGGGAATAAAGGAGAAGAGGCCCAAGGACAGAATCACACATGCTGGCTGGGCTTAGCATAGAAGAAAATAAGATCGAGGGAAAGAGAAGAGCTCAGGAAGGTGGTCTGAGTACGTGACCTAGAGGCCAAGAAAGGAGAGCATTTCTGAGGTTATCTGCCAAGTGACAGCACTACGCACGCCGTAGTCCTCCACACACAGACTTGTAGGTAGAACTGCCAAGTTTCTACTAAGTGAATGACCCACCTCCCCTGGCCCAGAGGGGGTGGGGGGTGTCTTTCCACATGAATTTGGGAGAAAGACTGATTTCCACATAGCTGAACCTGAAACATGTAAAACTCAAGTGCTGTTTATGCAACGGGGACAACAGAAAATAGAAAGCTGAGCTAAAGAGGGAAAAAAGAGAGCAGACATAGAGTCGAGAGAACAAGCAGGACTGGGAGCATCGGCACTCTCGCTCTGCATCCCGAAGCGGCGCTGAAGCCTCATTCATCCCTGAGGGCTCATGAGCAATCCCCTACACACCAAGAAACTCCCTTGGTGCCTAAGTGTGTTTGTGTTGGAGGTCTGCTACTTACAACTACAAGTCTTAAGTTCACAGCTTCAAAAAAGTAAGAAAGGCCAAGATAGTGTCGCACACAGCAGTAAAATAGTGAAGGAAGAGCTCTGGAAAGAAGGAAAAAGACGAAGAAAAGTTACCACATTAGGTATCAGGTCACCAATGATTTCCAAGAGCACAATTTGGTCACGATGGCAGAAGCAGCCCGAGAGCAGATGTTGCCAGGAAGTGCAAAAGGCTTCTGTTTCAAGATGTTTGGCAAAAAGAATGAGAGAAAATGCTGCCCTGAGGGATAAAGCTGGGTATGTAGATTATTATTACTGTTTGAGAACCGAGAGAGCTGAGCATAATTGACAGGAAAGAGGAGAAAGTTTCAAAGGGGTACAAAGTGTCCGGCGAGGAAAGAAGGTACAGGTCCTGAAAGCAGCTGGAGAAGAAATCCAGAGTAGATCAGGGGGTTTGCTTTAAACATTGGATAAGGTACATCCTCCTCAGAAACAAAAGAGCGAAAAGGGAGAGTGAAAAAACGTGAAGTAAGCCTGAGGTAAGAAGAGGCAATTGAAGGAACTTACATAAAATGGGTTTAGAAAAGTAGAAAGAAAAATCACCTGTGGAAAGCAAGAAATTGCACTAGGGACTTAAAGAGCATGAAAATGATCTGAAACGTCAGGAATGAAGAAAGGACACCAATTCTATTATTTTCTCTATTTGGAAGTGTCCTCAGAGATAGCACCTCCACTAACAATCCCCGAAAAATTATGTCAGGGAGTCATTTTCTGGCATTTAACTGACAAACAGGAATTGTAAGTATCATGGGACACTCAAAGGTCCGAGCTTACCTGCTAAACCCCAGCTCTTTCTTATAACACCACAGCACTGAAGGCCGAGCCTTCACAGTTGCTTTGGACAACATGTGATGGAGTATGACCACCTGCCAAAGAAAAAAAGTCACAGAATCTCAGAACAAAAAGAGGTCTTTGAGTCTGCCAGGACCAAGACCTCATTTGACAGATGTGGAAACTAAACTGAGGGCCAGGGAAGTGCCCAAGGTCACAAGGCAAGTAGTACTCAAGCTGGGACTAGAAGCCAGGTCACATATACTTAACTTTGTGCTCAGACGAACACCCCAGGCATCAAAAGCTGTTAACCTGTCTGCTAATAATTCTAAACACAGAGATTTTTGTCACTTACAAATAAACAAAGGAAGATTACCCAGTAGGCATTTTACTTAAAGGAAACCAGTCAAGGGACCTTAATGTCATTATGTACTAAAACCCAAGAGGGCCTGTAACATGCTGACTCTTTGGGACAGGACACAGTAAGTCAGGAAGCATGTACCAGGTCTTACCTGATCTTTCCCTCGATCTCCAACCACAACAAAGAGAGACCTTTGCCGCTCAGCTACACCATTCTCTATGAGAATCCGGATTCGGTTATCTACTTTCTTCCGATGCATGATGAAATACTATCACTGAAACAGAAAGAAAAGAAACACATTGGACATGAGCACCAGATTCTCGGTGAGGACCATTAACTGCTGCTTCCTGTGGGGTCAGGGACTGTACTAGGTACATTTATAGGTACCATCTTAACCCTCAAACAGCTCCCTGGGGAAGACATCACCCTCATTTTTTAGATTAGGAAGCTGAGGCTTGGAAGGTAAAGGAAATTTTCCCTCAAGATGGGAAGTCAACAGGAAAGCTGTAATTCACATGTCTATGGAGGGGTATTTTAAAAAATCAGAAACAATGTTCAAAAAAATAGAATGATTAAACTATAACTATATAATGGTGTATTTATGAGATAATAAGGCAGTTTTCAATAAAACTTTTTCAAAATCATTAAAAAATTAAGGATATGAATATAGATGCTTATGAGGAAATAACATGGCAAGATTAAGTATGATACTGGTTTTTTATGCATATACATAATACATAGAGAAAGAAAAAGGCTAGAAGAAAACACCAAGATGTAAAGTAGTTATTTCTCGATTTGAGGTTGTAGGTGATTCTTATTTTCTTCTTTTTTTGGAGTTTTATTTTTTAAAAAGTCACATGCATTACTAATAAAGTCAGGGAAAAGAAATCAATGACCACTATGATGAAATGCATCCAATTGGTTCCTCAAGGGAGGAAAAACCATACTGAAGCCTGTAGCAGACAGACCTCAAAAGTTATTGTAATTACATACAATAAAATATTACATCATTACCACAATAAATACACCAAAAAACATCAGATATATTATAGTTAGAATATAAAATTTAAAATGTTACTTAGAAACTCTAGTGCCTGCTACATTCTAAACATAAAGCTCATTAATTGAACCTTAACCCTGCCTTAACTTTCCTAATTTCCCAATCCAAACATGGGATTTAGCAGTTTTATTTTATTATATGCACTGTGTCACAATCAGTGGTTCCCATTTTATAAGGAAAGGAGCAAGTATAAATACTCAAGCATCCCAAGGAAGAAAATCTATGGAGACAGGACTCACACTCAAGTCTGCCTGTCTCGAAAGCCTGAGGTCTTTCCAGTGTTTTCCAACCTGCCCAGTTTCTCCGCTGTGTGTCAGGCCACATAAAGACTCCATTATAATCAATTAGTAACTAATTACTGGGACAGGACACAGTAAGTTAGGGACACAGACTGCTTTTTGCTCTAGTTACTGTGGGAGGCCCAGAAGTAGTACCAGACGAAGTCCTGGTTTCTGATAAAAGTCTGAGATTACTGTGGCTTGGCGTTGCCATGGAAGGCTTAATGGATGAGGAAGGCCTTGGAGGAGGAAAACCGTGAGTATTTTTCATTCACTGTCTATAGTCCAACAAATATACATAGCATCTACGTGCCAGGCACCGTCCTAGGTGTAGTGGTAAACAAATGGAAGTCCTGAATGTGACTGCTGAATGAAGAGTATAAATAAACGAGCAGTGTGGGGGGATATGTGGAATCAGATTGCCTCATTCAATGCCCAGCGCAGCAACGAGGAACTGTGGGAAAGCTCCGCGGAAAGCAAGGGTTGTCACCCACCGTCACCTTAGTCCCCCAGCTAGAGGTCCCTAGGGGGTGGAAAAGGAGCCACGCAACCCCCGAGAGCGCTCGAGAAGCACGCCCGAGTGGCTGCCCACTGGGGAAGACGCTTCTGTCAACCCAACCAGGAGCGCCCAGGTGGGGTGGCAGTTGGCGTGGGCCGGGCAGAGGTACGGATGCAGAGCCATCGTCTTCGAACCAGTCTCCTCCGGGCCCAAGGACACGGACACCGACCTCGGCACCCACCCCACCCATCCCGTAAGAAGTACCTGCGTCCCGAGCTAGGCGAATTCCAAACAGCAGAAGCACGTGGGGCGCCGAACGACCGCCGGAGGACCACGGCGCAGCAGACTGCCCCTAGCGGGCGCCTGACGCAGGCTCCCAGAGTTCGCCGGGCTCGGCGACGCGCGTCCCGCTCAGGCGCTGGTAGGCGGAGCGCCCCAGCGCACTCAGTGCGGCGACGGCGAACGAAGGGGGACCTTTCTCAGTCCTGTCTTTGGGTGATGACGTAAAGGCCTGGGAGGCGGAGCTACGACCTGTCGCGGCCGCGGCTGTGTAACCTCTGCCCGTGGTGGTCGTGGTGCAGAATGTAATTTGGCTCTCTTCGTATCGAAATTAAGATACCGAGCTACCAAGGCCAAAATAAGCATAGCGATGTCCGCACCCTCACCGCTGCCTCTGAGCCGGGGATAACTCGCGTGCTCAGATAGGTGCAGGGCAGCACGTGGTAATTAATTCAGGGTTTTCGATGTTAGCCTGGTTATGCGAGACGACTGGTTTCTGGGACCTGTGCGTAATTTTACCGATCCTCCTAAATACCTTACCATTTTAATGTGACTAGATGAGAAACCCCGATCAACAGACCTTTATTTCATTTATCTCACTTGACCCTCCTCACGCCTAGTCGGTGACCTTGTAGTCTGGTTTCTACCCATTGCAGCCGCTGTACTTTGCAGGTTCCCTGTAGGCCTACGGCCATCCAATACTGGCGCCCTTCTGAAAACCAGCTCCGCGGCTCAGCTCTTGTTCATTTACTGCCCCAGTTCAACTCCCTGGAGAACTCGCCTAAGAACATGACTATAAGGGCCACCCACCCATACATACTTTTACATTGTCTTTGGGCCAGATAGTCGAACTAAACAAATCCAACTGCTTGACATTTCTTCTTGGACACCTCAAATTCAGTGTATCTAAAGTAGAAATCATTTCCCTTGCTCCCTGAAACTTTCCTCAAATCAAGACACTTCCAAATCTTATGTAATCAGTGCCACCACCCATCTAATCCAATTTTTTTTAATTCACTCAACAAAAGGTTAATATGCCAGACACAAGGGGTAGTAACCACAATGTTCCTGTCCCTTGTGAAGGTTCCATAATTCTAGGCAAGTGTTATGTGGTATTAAGACTAAAGTATCCAGTGAGTAAAAAGTGACTAAGGGTACTGTGCTAGAGGTGAACATGAAACAGAGACCTGAACTTAGAATGTGATGGGAAACCACTGCGGTTTGAGAAACAGGGAAGTGACAAAATCTAATTTGCCCTCTTAAAAGGCTCATTCTGGCCACTGTGCAAAAGTTATAGCAAGAGTAGAATCAAGGAGAATCATTATAAGCTGTAGTTAACTTCTAAGCTGGTAATGCTGACAAGTCACAAATGCTAGATGACTCAGTTTCAAGTAGAACCATGCGGAGTTGCTTAAGGACTAGATATAAGGTATGAAAGGAAATCAAAGATGATGTCTAAGGTACATTTGCCCTGAGCAACTGGATGAATGTAGGTTAATCAAGAGGTCAACTTGGCATACTCATGACATTCAAATGAAGACACTGAGTATGAACTGTTTCAGAGTTTGGGACCTAGAAATATTTAGCACTAAAATCCTAATTGTGTCAAAATCATGGGATCAGATGAGGTCTCCTAGGGAAAAACATTAGCTAGAGATGAAGTCTGATAATCAAGGCCCGGAGAACTCAGCAAAGGATATAGGTAGAAAATACTTAGAATCCATTTACATGGGCTACTTCAACAGCCATCCCTTGACCCGTACATTTTGTTCTCAACACTGCACTGAGTGTTCTTTAAATAGCATTTATTAGGTGACCCACCATTCTTCTCCCTATACACACAGCTCAAAAATCTTCAATAGTTCCCAACTATTCTTACAAAAACATAACATGGTATATAACTATAAAGCAGTCTATAGTAGCGCTTACATTTCTTCAGCCTTTCTCACTCTGCTCCATCTGTACTCAAACTTTCACTTGAGCCAGAGAGCCTTCCCAGTCACTGGAGACTGGACCTTTGGACATGCTATTCTCCCCTTCTTTGCCTAGTTTATAACTCCTCATTCTTTAAATCTTATAGTTCAATTATCCATTTCAATGAAGTCTTGCATGATCCTTTTGACTAGGTCATATTTAATCAGTCATGGCCTTAAAATCTATCAACCATGTTGCTTCATCATGGCATTTGCTACACTTTAATGTGATACTAATACACATCAGTATCTTCAGTAAAAGCAGCAACCACAGTGATTCTGTCACCACTGAATGCTCAATGTTTGCCATGATGCCTGGCAATGGCTACCCAATTTTTATGAATGAAGATTTAGAGGCTTAAAACAGTGGCTCCCTAATATAAACACAAGACTTAAAGGAAACTAGTACTTACAAATAATAGAACTCTAGAAATTGGCTTTAATAGGTTAGGTGGTATTTCACTATATAAACTCAAAGTGCCAGTCTTCTGCATGGGACTGGATTAGGCTTCTGAACAGCTGTTTAAAGGTATTAAAAACCTGTTGAGAATACTGTAGTCCAGCCCTCTTAGAAATCAAGGCTACCGAAGAGTTTTCTTTAAGCTTTTTCCTCTCCTAAGTATAACAAGCATGTCTTAAAGCTTTGCTGAATGATATATACAACTAAAGCAGACTTCACTCAAGGATAATAAGGAATCAGATTTTAATGATTTAATCTAATGTAATTAAAACATTCACTAGTCTTTTCCAGTATTTTTGCAGAATTCAAAATTGGAAAAAGTATAGAGATGAGCCTTAACAATTTACTTTCATTTGCCTGAGGGTTTTCTTTCCCCCATTACCTCTTTAGAAGGGATAAGCTCAAGGGCAACACTGACTCTTTTAAATATAACTTAGTCAACAAAACTGAAGAGTGCTTAACAAGAACTCAAGTGAGTTGGGATTCAGGAACTTAAAGATTAAATGGTTTGAACTCAGTGCTTACCTGTATCCCATTCCCCCTAATTAGATATATTATTGAAAATAAAATGAATACAAATTTCCTAAAACACTTAGAAGGCTGACTACTCAACTACCTTCTACATTTTACAAATTGGTTGTCAACCAAGCACCTCAGTTACTGAGCCTTCTGATAATAAACACACATTCTCATGTCTTCTTAAGTGGGAAAGTCTCCCATGTTGCATATATAGAAGCCAAAAGAACTACAGAAGCTATATGATTAAAAGATATTTAAAGGATACTTGTTTTAGTATCAAGATACAATGATCAGGAAAAACTTCCATATTCGTTAGGGATATTAGGATCTGAAAATAAAACTGCCCTCACCAAGGTAATCTGACATTCTACCTTAAAGCTAGAACAGAAGTCTCATTATCCATATGTGAGATGACTGATACTTGTACATTTACAGAAGTTCTTTATGTATGGAGTCTTGCTGTAGAAGCTACATTGACACGTAACAATCATTTCCTTACAGCTCTGCTCAACTATGCATTTGACCAAACAAAAGGCCTTCTGCAGATAGGACAGGTATACTAGACAGACCACTTAGGACCAAGACTCAGACCTTAATGGAACTTTTTACAAAGTTCTCTGCCTCATATGAGGCACTCCTTTGTATAGTCTGAATTGAGGCATAAGAGCTTTACATTTACACTGCAGTGGTAGAATGCCAAAAATATATATAGTACTTCAAAAAGAAACAATTCTTTAAAAAACACACATAAAAAAAAAATCAAACACTTTACACATTCACATCTGCACTAATGCATAGAATTTTGAAATCTAGAAAGCGTTTCTCCCCATTCCATCTCTGAACTGATTCATAGAGATCACTATAAAGAACTTCGATTGTAAATGTCATGAAATTATTTTCTACATAGATAGCAAACTTAGTTTTATATAGAGGATTGTAAGCATATCTAGGGATTACCCAATAAACCACAAATATTTTATCTAATCCCTCTAAAATACACCTAACATATGGTTGTGGTACATCCCAGGCAGATGTAATTTAAAGCACACAAGGGGAGGTGCCAACAAAAGAAATACTCATTTGCAAATGTAAACAGATAACCCTCCAATATGATGTACCACAACCACACGAGAAAAGTCAAGAACTTACTTTATTTTAAAATAAACATTGAAGACCCCACCCCTTCCCCACCACCCTACAAAACTTTTAAATGTGGAATGTTCAACCGCCTATCCACTTTAGTAGGTTACAAAACCAGCAAAAACTCCAGTTGTCTAATGAAGAATGTTTGAGAATAGTTTTGTGTTATGTTTGTGTGTTTTTTTTAAGTAGCTGAGCACCTACTGGAAAAATTCCTTAGCTAAAGGCTGAAAACAAAACTTAATTTCTGCAGAGAAAATATCATTAACTTAGTAGGCTTTGCTTAATAAGTGGGCTTAGTTCTCCATGAAGTCAAAGTGGGAAACGACAAGCAGCATTAAGTTCACAGGCACATAGAACTAGTGCTCAAACTGCTAGCACATATTCCAACAGAGTACATAAATTACTAAACTGTCACTCTCCATCAAATTTGTGACTCTCCCTATGCATCTAAGGAAAGGAATCACCACTTTGAATATAAATACCTCCAGGAGAAAAGGACAATTAGGGTTAGACAAAAGATAAGTGCAAGTACTATAGAAACAGCTGCTGGAGATGCCCATAAAATCTGTAACAATGCATGTGAACCACATAAGCTGCTAGCTGTTGAACACCAGTGTTTCAAGATACAGCTTTTATAAACATGTTTTATTTGTTTTGCTTATACCATCAGAACTGAAACTACTGACTGTCATTTCCCTAAAATAGGGAAATCAATCTAAAACACATACTGGTGCTTTTCAAAAGATAGCAATTTAAAAGGGTGGTAGCAGCAGGCATTTGATCTTTTAAAAACCTTCAGGCTACAGGAAAACATGTGACCAAGAGTGTTATGATTATCCATTATAGACTTTCATCAGTACCTGTACCAATTTAGGTGACAATACATTAAGATCCAAGGATTAGTGAGAGACAATGAGCATCATAAGGAATGATATATAGTACCAATCCTTACAAAGTCATTGTCAAAGAAAATGTTATGTGTTCAAAAGTTATCTAAATACTTCACATTAAGTACAGAAGCGGCCATCCAGATTACATCCCATATTTGTTGCATATTTTTCAAAAAGTGCCAATCAAAGCCTAATTTTGCATCTTGGCTTTGTCTTATACAGTATTAGCTGTTAAGCAATTTACATGTGTTTTTAACCACAGTCATTTGGCCAGAGGATGAATAGTGCTGTGTCAAAGCCAGTAGCCAGCCCTGTATGTGTGATTAAGGGCCCATGCGTAATTTGGTATGCATCTAAACGTTCAGTGCTCCGATTTAACTGGAAAAGCTGTGAAATGCAGATTTTCTGCCAAACCACACTCCTCCTTCCATCTTCCTTCCAAGGGAAATATATTTGTCAATTACCACTGAATAATGCTAGGGCTGATTTGTAGATTTTATCCAATGTCAAAGTCAATCTTGCTTTTTCCAAGCCACTTCGATTAACTATGGAGATATTATCACCCTGTAAAGTATATTATGTTTTACTCCTAAGCAAGGGTGAGGAATCTGAGTATCATG